ATCATTGCCACTCGTTTCAACATGTATGTTAATTGCCACTTGTTGCCATCTCTCTATAAGGCTGTCATAATTATTCACAGTTTGCAGTCAAGCATTCAGAAAACAGAACAATTTCCTCCTCTTTAAGAACCCTATTGGAAGTGAAATTAAGTAGATTTAATTTAAGCAAGAAGCTTCCTCAGAGACTCAAGACAATGATCAGATAATAAAGAAATAAGCCCTAGAGCCCTAGGAGGTAAGACTTGGAGAAACCTCCAGAGATCTTCTAGTCAGCCCTCTGCCCCACAGTGCGATCAACTAAACTGCTGTCATTCCTGACAGATGTTTCCCTAATCTGTGCTTAAAAGCTTGTGACAATTGAGATTCAACATCTCTCTGCGCAATCTATTTCAGTGCTTCACTGTCCTTCCTAGCAAGATATGACTCCAGACACCCAATTGCAACCTTTCTTGCTGTTTAAGCCTTTTACTTCCTTCCCTATGCTTTGGGACCGGGAAACGGGCTATTCCTGGCCTCCCTGCAACAGCTTCCTGAACACACGACCACTTCCATCGCTCCTCAGTTTTTTATTAGATTGAATCACAGCACCCCCTTTTTCTTTCCTCAGCAGTCTTGTTCATCTCTTGCACACTCTAACCTGCCAGTTCTCGCCTGGAAATGCATCACCTGAATTAGGGTAGTTTAGCTCAGCTCTTTCCCAGCATCAAGGAAGGCGGAAGCAATAGCTCACATCTGGCAGGTTACAGGTCTGTTTATACATCCCAGCGTGCTTCCTTCATAGTGGGACAACATTGCTGACTTGCGTTGAATTTATAACCCATTCTCATCCCCAGTATTTCAACAACTTGCTTAATACCCTGTAATTATTTATTTATAAATATTAGAAATCAAATGTTCAAAAGTCTCTTGAACTGAAGATGGCAGATAGCCACTACCCCAAATTTCACCACCAAAACATTCCAATTTGTAAGCAACAGAAGTAAAGTCTGAAACAATGTCCTCTGTTCAGAGCTCCCCCCCCCCCAAACAAAAAAAACCCACACAACACAACACTGCACATGATCACAAAACCACCCAGATCTTCTGTAGTGAAATTCCTCCTCACGGGATTTCCAACTCCTATCCAAACTGGAGTCCTGCGGGTGCTTGAACAGGGGTCTTTTGATTCTCTAAGCACTGCAACCTAATAAGGACGACACTTTTGCTATTTAAAAATGAACCATTTGTTAATGCATTTTATTCATTTCCTACTGAAGAAACACTCTTGCACTCCTCCACTGGATTCTCCCTCATTGTCCAAGAGTAGGGCAACACTTCAGCTAAGGCCTTCCCAAGTGGAGGAGAGACGACACTTTGTAGGTTTCAGTTCTGTACCTATGTGCTAACGTGACCATCCATTTCACAACAGCATGGTACTGCTGACTTGCGTTAAGCTCGTGATCCTTATCCAGCCCTAGTTTCTTCTTGGGAACTGGTGCATTTTCAAATTTCTGACAGTTAGGGGGTTTGTTTAGTGAAATCAGCATAGTGACTCAGCTTAAAAGCAGAAATTACACAAACACATGTGCAAAGATTCTGTGGCATTGCTTTGTCAAATGCCAGATCTACTATTCCTACAGAAGGTCACTGGTGCTGGGGACACAGTAAGGTTTAAGATTTCCCAAACACATCAGACATGCTGCCATTGGCTATTATATGGAAGAGATAAGTAGTAGCTCTTGCCAAGGTGTTTTGAATGAAAATCCTAGATGCCGCCACGTTTTCACACCATTGCGTCCAGGATTTGCCTGAGTACAGCGGCTCATCTGGAAGCATCTAACTCTCAAAGGTTCCCAGATACAGACAATTCTCAGCATCCACATGGACAAAGTTTCCAGACAGGAAAAAGAGGTTATATCATTAGCAAGGTGCTCCTTAGAGACATGAGACTTGCTTTGAGCTTGGATCCAACCAACACTACCAACCAGCCATATGCATAAGCCATCCTCCTTTCACTCCAGGCCAATTTCTTCAGAGACTAGAAAGTCTTTTACTAGCGTAGCCATTTTGGGCCAGAGCAAAGGTCCACCTATTCCACCATCTGCCTCCAGCAGCAGCCCTAACT